CGGCTGCCGGTGTTCGACATAGCTGCGAGGGGTACAGGGAATGCTGGGTGGCCCCATGGATATGTCGGACCCTTCGCAGCGCTGTCAAACAGCGGCAGCCAAATATCGGCGAAACACACTAACACATATCTGGGCTGCCAGTATGGTGAATAATTTCACGCAGTATACTACTGTTTACATGTTGGCAGCTTGTGAATATTATGTGGTTATTCGGCAGTTGCTGCTCGACTTAGGCTCACAATATTTACATGAAAACTTCAGTTTGTGCCTATAAACCCTGAGTATATTGATGTACTCCAAGTTTGCAATTAATTTCTATAGGGAACTTAAATAGCCACGATCTTTGAACTTACTATCGATATTAAAGCCAAAATCCATCAGCTTTTGCAGTCTCTGGGCAGAGGTTGGGGGTGGGGAACTGTGGGACATACCCAGACCCCATCGTTTGGAGATACGATCTAAGGCTTAAATGCTTGACATCCAAAGGCTTCTGCAGGTTTCAGACTTGTCTTCAAGAACGGTAACTGCGTCTGCGTTTGGATGACCCGATACATCTTGCGTACGGAACTGTCCTGCCGGTGGGACACTTGCATCCAATACCACTAGTTGCGTGAATAGGCAGAGGCAGACTTTTTTATGCCCGACTTTCGGCTGGGTCAGATGAATCAGCGTTTATGCCTGACTCTCAGACACAAAATTATGCATTAAGTATGTCGAAACCCCATTACATAATCAAGTGTTAATGTCTTATGTTAACAAAGGTAGACGTATAGCAGAGAGGTGCAGAGGCGGAAAGCACCACCATGATCCGTAACAGCCTGCACACGAAACTTACCGTCTAAGGGGTAACAGAGGGTCGACAAACGCCTGCTTTGGGGAACAAACATTTACAGGCATAAGTATTAGGAATTTTCGAGTGCAGAAGGAGCAGATTGGTTACCAGATTATTTGCCAGTACCTGTGCTGCCAGTATGGTCAATACTTGCGTGGGGCATACTACTAACTGTCTGAAGGCAGCTTGTGAATATGACGTGTTTGGGCCTCAATGGCTGATAGAACTCGGCCCCAATAATCATAAAAAAGTCTGGCCCACACCTGAAGACCCTTGAATATTACTGATCTTTTCCGAGTTAGAAATTAAATTCCAAGGAAATATAAAAGCCGGAACTGTGCAACACCCGTACACTTCCCCCCCTTCTCTCTTGTGGGAATTAAAATAATAAAAGAGATCAACTCGCATTTAGCATATTAAGCGGCTAAATATGACGTATAAACGCCGCTCCCCCAAAATGACGGACTTCGCAAAGAATATCCATTTTCCACTCATGCATAGTGTTCCTCGCTTAGCCCTCGCGACCGGCGTTTTCGCATCTGCCAATAGACCTAAACATGCGAGTTCCAGGAAGCAGTTCAGAAGAAGAAGACGCAGCCACTGGAACAAGAGCTTTATTTTCCTGACGTTTCGGATTCCGTCGGGAATCCTTAATAAAAGGTAATGGTAGCATAGTCTGAATAATACGCAGATAAGGGTGAAGCATGCACAGGTTGCACGGTATTTATAGTTCGTAGCGGTCATCCGCGTGCGTACTATAATTATCCACTCATGTAGCCACCGCTTGGGTCTTAATTGGTGCAGTGATGGCTTGACACTTCGTGTTCGAATCATTAATTGCCACTATTTCCTTGACCTTGTCGGATGCGGGCTTGGTAATTGCGCGACAATTATGCTTGCATCTGACTCCAAGTCTGATTTACAGACAGGAAGTGGAGTCTAACCAAATGCACTGCCATATTTGGAGAACGAGCTTCGGCCGAGAACACTGTGCTGTAAAAGTGGACAACATAGCTGTCTATAGTTAACCCAGCAGGAGCATGACCGCAACTAGGAGGCAATCGGCTTTGGTCACTGTGACATGCTTCTGCAGACTGGTCCAGAAAAGTTCACTCTAATCGCAGACCGGTAGTGCAACTGACATTCTGCTGGAGGTTCATACCAGTTTTTTGTTTCGGGAGCTCTACCGGCTGCGTCGCCGCGTTATGTGCGTTGTGATGGTTATGCACACCAGTACTACTAATGTGTGTGTGGTCTCATAGGACACCTTAATTCTCACTTGTTTCTTCTTGTAGTCGGACATGGGCGACGTTTCGGAGCGCAAACAAATTCTCAAGAAACTTAAGTGCAAGTCCTTCAAGTGGTACCTGGACAACATCTACCCCGAGATGTTCATCCCGAGTGAATCATTAGCCTCTGGCGAGGTAAGGGCTGCAAATGTTATTATTCCAAATCGGAAGACAACGTTTTTGCTTATTGGTTTTTATCTTTTCATCTGCGCTCCATATTGTGACTGTTTATACGTTTAGGCATGTTTATATGCATAGGCAGCATTAATAAATTAACGAATACGATGTATTATGAATGAACAGTTCACAATCGTAAAAAACTCATAATTTGACATTTTTCTAAAACCGAAGGATACCGTTTCTTTGAGTATGAAATTTAAAGAGAGCGTAATATGCTACAATACGAGTACAAGAAATATTTTTTTCGTGCATGTTTTCCATAAAATATATTTGCATTTATAAAGGTAGTCAAAATCAATTATAAAAATGCATACTACTTAAGTAGCCATTTTTTACAGTACATACTTTCTGGTAGCGGTCAGAAAGAGGCTGATTAAAAAGCCGGTATCCTAACATGACTGAAATTGACTTGAGAGTAGGCTACACGATAATCGGTATTTCAACCGCACTCAATGCCGATTATCGAGTGAATATCAATCTTTCACAAATGTCGGCATGTTGCACGAATTCTGAGCCGTGCTGTAGATCTAGACTTAAGGTTAAATTAATAGTTGGCGTTTGGGTTAGACTTAGCACAAAGAATTAGTTAGCTTGCCGAATATGTAGAGTACTGGTACCTGTATTACAGGAGATTTTCCTATCCCCTCCTGTAATGTCAAAGGGGCAAGGGGAGGTGAGAGCCCATACACGATCCTCAACATGAGCAAATGTTAATCATGTCACTCTGCATTACATAACCATACGATAGACTGACTTGAGCAGATTAGATTCAAAATCTGTCGTTGCCTCCGACACATTGGAGAAATTGGACGGGGTGGGGGTGTGGGGGGGGGGCACGAACAACTCAACCCTTTTGACTGATTTAATTTTTTTCGCTTAAATACATTATGCATAATTATAGCAGACGGAAATTCTCTTATTTGTGTGTCTGCGTTTGCTTGCTTGCATATTTCAGATTCACAACGCTGCTGCTGACGTGTGCGTAGACGCCCCTCTGCCGAGTCATCACCAGACTGGGAACCTCTCGGTGTACCCATGCCACGGCCAGGGTGGAAATCAGGTGAGCAGTCGCGTCTATCTTACCGCAGTAGATCACTCCCACTTATTTACTACACTATTTAGAAATTCATCAAACAGGCAAGTCATCTCTTCAACGGAATATGTGACAAATAGTAAAGTCTACCTCATTTAGGTCAAACGTCGCAGTCATGTCGTTGATGAACGTTCACCTGGCCGCTAACGGAACTCATCTGCCCCGCTCCACCTTTGGCCTTGCCAGAGGCCCTGACAGCCGTAACAGCTGGTAGTATAGGCAGGTAGTATTGCTGAAAAAGACAAGAGAGACTGGTTAGGTGAACCTTCATCAACGAGTATCGATATTCTCTGACTTAAACCGGCTAGACAACGAGCTCGTGGCTCAACGGTTAGGACGTTTGACCCTGATCAATAAAGTCGCGAGTTCGAGGCTCGGGTGGGACACCACTTGGGTCTGGGTATGAGTGACTGACGACGGCTAATAAGCCAGAAATGGCCTCTCCTGTCTCCCTTGTCTTTGCCGATAATACTCCCAGTCCGAGGTGTGTTTTTGTGTAGTGGCCGACCGGTAATCTGCGAGTCAGGCTGCAGTAGCT